TTTTTTTTTTTTTTTGGTCACCACCTTCAGGTTATTTTCATTACAGAGTACATGTCTTCTGGAAGCCTGAAGCAGTTTCTAAAGAAGACAAAGAAGAATCACAAGACCATGAATGAAAAGGTACTTTGCTGCTCTTTGTCTGTTCAGACAAATAGACAAAAGAGCTGTTGAGACATAATGCACTACAGACTAATACATATCTTTTGTCTTAAATTGCTTGCCTAAATGTTAGTCTTGATTGACTTTGCCTATCAGTATGGCTCAGATCAGAGAGAATTTTTTTTAGCGAGAGCGTGCTAGTTGCTTTCTGGTACAATATTAATAATGTCAAATATAGGACATCATAAACAAAATGCATTATTTACTTTATTTTAACATGCAGTGATTCATATCAGTTAGCGTCATTTGTTTTATACTTTTAAGTCTTTTACATTTTTGTTGCCTGTTTATTCTCTGTTTTTCAATATTAGGATTGGTGCATCCCTAGATATTAATAATACTATTACTTGTGTTTTAGTTTAACTGACTGTAGTATTAGTTGGGATTAATGAAATAACCTGCTGTAGTATAATATCAGATGCAGACTTGTCTTCTCAGATGCCATTAACTCTTTCTGGGACTCTTCTAGGCATGGAAACGCTGGTGCACTCAGATATTATCTGCCTTAAGGTGTGTGTATTTCTCTCTCCGATTCTTTTGTTCAAAATCTGTACAAATACCAGTAATGTGGAGATATAATTGGAAATTCCTCATTGGCACCTGGAATGTTAGCTGTCCATTTCTTTTTGTTTTGATGTTCCACTATAAGTCTTGTGGAGAGCTCCTATTACACTCACATTTCTCACCATTCTTCCTTCAGCTATCTGCATTCATGTGAACCTGCCATTATCCACGGGAACCTGACCTGTGACACCATTTTCATACAGCACAATGGACTCATCAAAATCGGCTCAGGTGGGCTAAAGCACATTGAGTATGACTGTTTAAATGTTACACATTGTATTATTGTTGCTGATGTTGTTTTTTTTTTTGTAGTGGCCCCAGACACCATTAATAACCATGTGAAAACATGTCGGGAGGAACAGAAGAGTTTGCACTTCTTTGCTCCAGAGTATGGAGGTAAAACTAGGTTTTAAAACCCATCATACAGTCTTGTTTCAGTGTGCAGTGTAAAAAATTACCTTGTACAATTTGTCCTCTTCCCTCATCCACTTCAGCTGTTGCAAGTGTCACTACAGCTGTGGACATCTATTCCTTTGGAATGTGTGCCTTAGAGGTGAGTGCTGTTTGTTTTGAGCTGAGGATCATTCATCAGGGTATCAGACTGCCCAGACCAGTGATTCAGGTTTTTCTCCCAATGTTTTAGATGGCTGTGCTGGAAATCCAAAGTAATGGAGAGTCCTCATATGTGTCACAAGAAGCCATTAATAGTGCCATTCTGTTTCTGGAGGACCCACTGCAGAGAGTGAGTATAGATTGTCAGGACTTAAATTATTTGCATTCAAAGATGCACTACCGTTTAAACGGGTCCTGTAACATTTTTGAAATAGGTCTCTTATGCTCAGCAAGGCTGCATTTATTTGATCAAAGATACAGAATAAAAATAGTAATATTGTGAAATATTATACAATGTAAAATAAAAATAAAAATTTTCAGCAGCCTTTACTCCAGTCTTCAATGTCACGTGATCCTTCAGAATTCATTCTAATATGCTGATTTGCTACTCGAGAACCATTTATCATTATCGTTATTAAAAACAGTTGTGCAGCTTAATATTTTTAAGGAAACTTTGGAATTTTTATAGAAATATTTTTTGAAAACTTCTGGTTTCTGGTGTTTTTTGATTAATAGAATGTTCGAAAGAACTCTATTTATTTGAAATGTTAATCCTTTGAAACATCGTAAATGTCTTGATTTTATTTTTATCCATTTAATGGATTCTTCC